TCAGGGTAATCGGAATGAATTTGGAAGTACAGTTCTCAGTTTGAAGCTTGAAACTTGAAAGGTTTGACCAAGTTTCGACTTGTTTGTATATGATCTCGGATTGGAATTTTTATGATTTGGTTAGCTCCGTTAGGTGATTTGGGACTTAGGAGCATGATTGGAATGTGTTTTGGAGGTCCAGAGTAGATTTAGGCTTGAATTGGCAAAATTGAGTTTTTGGCATTTTCCAATTGATGGGTGAGATTTTGATATAGGGGTCGGAATGGAATTCCGGAAGTTGAAGTAGATCCATCATGTCATTTGGGATGTGTGTGCAAAATTTCAGGACATTTGGACGTGGTTTGGTTGGGTTTTTTATCAAAAGCATAATTTAGAAGATTTTGGAATTTCTTAGGCTTGAATTCGATGCGAATTTGGTGCTTTGATGTTGTTTTGAGCATTCCGAAGGTTGGAACAAGTTTGAATGATGTTATGGGATAAGTTGGCATGTTTGGTTGAGGTCCGAGGGGCCTCGGGTGAGTTTCGGGTGGTTAAACGGACCAATTGCATGTTTGAAAAATTGCAGATTTGGCTTCAGTTCTGTTGCAGACTTTTGTACTCTGCGATCGCGTAGTAAAGTTCACGATCGCATAGGTCTATTAAGGGCAGCTGGGAAATTTGTCTTATGCGATCGCCAATTTGGGTTCGCAATCGCGAAGGTCTGTGGTTTTGTCTATCGCGACCGCGTGGTTAGGGTCGCGATCGCGAAGAAGGATTTGAAGCGGTCGTGAGGTGAAGGATTTTCTCTACGCGATCACATAGTGAGGGCCGCGTTCGTGATGATTGATGAGTTTGTTGTTCGCGATCGCGTGTTTTGTTCCGCGATCACGTAAGGTAAGTTGAGGGGCAGTTCATTTTTATGCTTCGCGATCGCGAGGCAATTTCCGCGATCGCATTGCCTCGCGATCGCGATTAAGGAATTTTAAGTGCTGGGCAGAATGTTTTGAAAGCTCATTTCCGTGATTTTGAGGCTAAGTTCCTCCATTTTTGGGTGATTTTGAAGCTTCTTGAAGGGAATTGAAGAGACAATCAAGAAGGAACACTTGGAGGTAAGACTTATGGACTTTATACTCGATTCTTATGTGAATTCTACCTAATTAATCATGGAATTTAAGCCTAGTATTGAAGAACTAGGGCTTGTAACTGGAGACCTAGAATATGAGATTTGAGGGGCCATTTGAGGTCCTTTTTTGATATTCTTGATATGTTTAGACTCGCGAGAGGATGAGGATTTCATAGATGTTAATTTTGTCGGATTCCGAGACGTGGGCCCGGGGGCCGGATTTGGTCAAATTCGGGATTTTTGGTATAAATTGGATATTTTTGAGTGGGCTTTGTTCCCTTAGCATATTTTAATGGTTATGCACTGATTGTGGCTAGATATGGAGCATCCGGAGGTCGATTCATGAGGGCAAAGGCATCGCGAGCTAGAGTTTGGACCGGATCGAGGTGAGTAATGACTTTAAATGTTGTCCTGAGGGTATGAAACCCCGGATTGCACATCGTGGTGCTACATTAAAGTGACGCACACGCTGGATGACGAGCGTGGGGTCGTGCACTGTTGGGGATTGTGACTTAGTCCATCCCGAATGATTGTTTTACCGCGTATTTGATTGAAAACTATTTGCTATCATTATGTTTTGGTTGAATGCAATATTTGGGCCTTATGCCAACTATTTGGACCCTTAGGGGATTTTTACTGGTATTTCCTCACTATTTGACTTTATTCTTGTACTCAGTTATGTTATATACTACTGTTTTCATAACCCATCCATGCTTACTCTGTTTAAATACATTAAATGATATTTTTAAATGATAATTGGCTTGACCATCATGTTTTACTGTTGCCCGAGTGACTTATGAGATTCTGACTGAGTAAGGCTGAGGGCTTGTGTGTGTGAGGATATGCTAATTTATGATTATGAGGCTGAGGGCCTGAGATATTGTACGCCACGAGGTGGCTTGTTGATTATGAGGCCAAGGGCCTGAGATTTGTACGCCACGAGATGGCTTGATATTGCGCTTGGGCTGTAAGGGGCCCCTCCAGGAGTCTGTACATCCCTAGTGAGCGCGGGTACCCAGTGTGATGATTCTGTTTATTATGTGAGGCCGAGGGCCGAATCGATTATGCCACGAGATGGCTTGTTATTGCGCTTGGGCCGTAAGGGGCCCCTCCCGGAGTCTGTACACCCCCAATGAGCGCGGGTACCCATTGTGATATGAGATTTAGCCTGAGGGGCTGGTATTGTTCCATGTGTTTGCCCGAGGGGCTGGTATTGTTCCAAGTGGTTGCTCGAGGGGCTGTTTCTGTTGGTATTGTGCCCGAGGGGCTGATTCTGTTGATATTGTGCCCGAGGGCGGTTTTTTATGTGTTATCTTTTCTAGTTGCCTGTCATTTACTTGCTTAACTATTAAAAAGTCATTTTGAAGAAGCTTAAATTGAACTAAAGTGACTTTACATATTTTCACTGTTCCACTATTTTTACTGGCTTTCACTGCTTCTTTATAGCCTGTTGATGTGCCTTTACGCGATCTCTTATTACTCAGTCTGCATTTATTATTATTACTCACTGAGTTGGAGTACTCACTTTACTTCCAGCACCTTGTGTGCAGATTCAGGTATTTCTGGACCCGGTAGCGGGTATTGGTTGCTCAGAGGCAGAGTCATCGGAGTTTAGCAAGGTAGCTGCCCGACGTCCGCAGCACTGCTTTTCTCCCTCCTGATTTCATTAGACTGTATTTAGTGTATTTTCAGAATTTTCCGTTGTATTTAGACCTTAGTTGATGCTCGTGACTTGTGACACCCCTATGTCGGGCTATGTTTATTCTGCAATAGTATCATCTATCTTATTTTGGGATTTACTATTATGATTTAGACTTAGTTTGTATTATCTTAATTTCTTAAAACGAATTGGGAGCTTGTCGGCTGGCCTTGTCTTCTCGAAAGGCGCCATCACGACCGGGTCTGAGTTTTGGGTCGTGACATGCACATCTCCAGAAAGTACTCTCCAATCCTCTCCACTCTTTTGACCAATTTGCAAGGATGTGCCTAGCACACATCATGCGTTCACACTCAGGCAAAAAATCCCTTACAACATTAATTAACCCTGAAGCATTCAAAAAAATAATAGTTACCGAAGTAGAACAGTTACTGTTAAACACTGAATAAGCCTAGTGACTGAAGCAGAACAGTGCTTCTGAAAATGGCTACTGAAGGAAAATAACACCTTCTGCATATCAGACATAATTGTAAGGTCTTTACCATCTTCTAAGCCCAAATCTTCACTCAAGCACTTCAGAAACGAAGTCCAATTGAATGTGTTCTCCACCTCTACAACTGCCCATGCAATTGGAAACATCTAATTGTTTCCATCTTTGGAGACAGCTACAAGAAGTTATCCCTTGCAAACTCCTTTCAAGAAATATCCATCAAGGCCAATAATTCTTCTGCATCCTTCCAGCCAGCCCCTTTTCATGGCATGTAATAAACATAGATTTTAGAAAATACCAGTTTTCCATCACCTTGATCTTCTGCTTTCACCATGTACTCCCAGGATTGGTCTGCAAAATCATATCTCTATAGTCATAGAGTCTTTTGAACTCTTGATCCACATCACCAATGATTTCTTTCAATATCTTAGTTGTTGCTCCATGGGCAGTTGATCTCCCTACATAGAGGTCCAGTTCTTGCTTTATCAATTTTCTCAACTCCCAAACTTTCATAGCTGGTTGTGATATAATTCTGCTCTTGTATCTTTTTGCAAGATATCTTGAATTACATAACTTGTTCTTGTTGGTTGTATAATACTTGTGCACTGGATTATATTTTTTCACCTTAAAATTATTGGATCTGCCATCTTTACTAGCTGCTAGAAGCCATCCACATTTAGGTACCATGCATTTAACTGTCACCCTATGTGGCTCATTTATGTACTTCTCAATATGCACCCTTTTTTGAATTGCATATTTAGGGCTGAAGAACATTTTGGTGAAAATAGAATTGTGTTTGTTAATCTGGTCGAGGGGTTGTTTTTAATCGACCGGGTCGGAATCTTTTTTGGTCAGGATTAATAAAGGGTCGGGTTGTCCATTTTTAATTAAAAAATCGTTTGTTTTTAATTTAAATAAGCACGTGTATACACAACATTGAATATTAACTAGGCTGGTCAAAAGTAGTGTGTAATTGACACACATTTGAAAGATTTGGTGTGTAAAGTTAAACCCGTGGTCAACAGGTATGTAACAGAGATTTGGGTACAAGGTGAATAGGTAAACTATGTATTTTACCTACTTTGTTTGGTGGAAGGTCAAAGATGAACGAAAGGAAGCAGGGAGGTTTGTTTTGTGCAAGAAAGCTGTGCATGTGCGCATATATGATAGAAATTGAGACGTTAGTGAGTTCATAATTAGTTGACCATGCAAAGAGAAAGGTAGGATCCGAGACAGGGCCAAAGGCACTGAACTATTATAAGTCTATTTGAAGGGATCAGGAACATTGCAGCAAAAGAAGAAAAAAAGTGAAAGAAAAGTAAGTTTGACTTTACTCAATTTTATTGAATCGTCTCAGATACACCCTTAATGAGAGGAATGCACAACGAAGTCACGGGTAGCTTAGCTTGATGACAAAATAAGGGCAATCACACGGCTCAATACTTAGCATAGTTGTGGACAAGCACAAGCTGTAACCCAAGGTTCTGTTTAATAGCTGTAACCCAAGGTTCATAATTATTAAAGCATGGGAAAAGAGTCCGAAGGAATCCAGGTTTTCTCTCATTCAAATCATCTTACTTACATATCAAACGCGTAAACGTCAAGTGGGGCCCTGCCAATAAGTATTACAACTCCACTAATGTTTCCAAATAAACAAAGATTTAATTTCCAGCTGGTTTGCCAATTTTGGATCCTTCCTCCTCGATTCATGAGCATGGTCAATCATATAATTGGCCTAATATAAATACATACGTATTCTTGAACAATTTCATATCATCAATCACCACACATTGATACCCTTCTTCTTCCAACTTGCAAAATACTTTGAGAAATCATTTTTGAGCTCTGAAAAATGTCGCCTCGTTTCTCTTTTAAAATGTTAATCCTTCCCATAGTCATGGCAAGTCTATGGGCAGCCGCCTCAGCTGGTAATTTTTATAATCTTGCAGACATCACTTGGGGCGAAGGACGTGGTAAAATAACAGAAGGAGGCAGAGGCCTTTCTCTGTCCCTTGACAAACTTTCAGGTTCGGGTTTTCAATCCAAGAATGAGTATTTATTCGGAAGATTTGACATGCAACTCAAACTTGTCCCTGGAAATTCTGCTGGCACTGTCACCACCTTCTTCGTAAGTTATTCAACTTTTCCCTTACAAAAATGAAGTAGTTCTAGTTCATGTCCAAGTTCTGATGATTTACTATTGTTTCTTGTTCTTTGTTTCTTTCATCAGTTATCTTCACAAGGAGCAGGACACGATGAGATCGATTTCGAGTTCTTAGGCAATGTTTCTGGCCAACCTTACACAGTTCATACCAATGTTTATTCACAAGGCAAAGGCAACAAAGAACAACAATTCCATTTGTGGTTCGACCCAACTGCTGCATTTCACACTTACTCCATTATCTGGAACGCTCAGAAAATTATGTAAGTCCTTTGTAATCTCACTCTGATAATTATGTTTGCTAGCACTTCTTCTTAATTTGGTACTGATGGTTTCCATATGAATTGCCATCTTCAGTTTCTTGGTAGATAATAGTCCAATCAGAGTATACAACAACCATGAAAGCGCTGGCATTCCATTCCCAAAAAGCCAACCAATGAAAGTGTACTGCAGCTTATGGAATGCAGATGAGTGGGCAACACAAGGAGGTAGAGTCAAGACAGATTGGACACATGCTCCTTTCACTGCTTACTACAGAAACTTCAATATTGATGGCTGCGCAGTCACATCCGGAGCCTCTTCATGTAAGTCCACTGATTCAGCAAACAATGCTAGACCATGGCAAAATCAAGAACTTGATGCTAAGGGCAGGAATAGGCTACGATGGGTGCAGAGCAGACATATGGTTTACAACTATTGTGCTGATTCTAAGAGGTTTCCTCAAGGCTTTTCTCATGAGTGCAAGCGTTCGAGGTTCCTGTAAATAAGTTGCTGGAACAAGGAAATTGTGGCACTGCCTCGGCTATTTATTAAGATTGATTCTTCTCGTATTTGTGAATAATGAATATATGTACGTACTGAATTCTTTATTTATATGATCAAAATTCTTTATTTTTTATGTATCTACTGCTGTATTTGTTTTGGAGCATACACATAATAGCTCGCGCCTTCATAATAAGACATTATCTTGGCTTAACTGACAAATTAACAAGAACCTATTTGTTTGACCAAAAAATACATACTTTCGGTTAAACTATTAAATTTTATGTAATGAGGGGTTAAATTTAGTTAATAATAATATTTCTAGACTTTGGACTTGATAGAATGGAAGACGTGAAATAAAGTTGGTGGGGAACTAAAAGTAATGCACATTTAATATTCCAAAGGATGTGTGCAATACTAGAGGAATATCAAGCAATAAATAGCGATAAATGGCATTTTGTAAATAAGGAGAATGATTCAACCAATAATGAATGAGGTGGATGATTCTTCCTTCTGACAATGATGAATGATAGATAAATCCTAGAATGTTTGAACTATTCTTGGATCTAATGGAAAAGTATGGAATAATGTGAGCAAGAATCTTGATGAAAAAGTAAAGTTTGTATCTTTGCTAGAGAGTAAATCTTCTCTACAAAAGTGTTCTTATAACCTGA